AATTTGGAGCCCCTATTAGTATAATACATAAAAATCAACTTTGCACAATTTAAGGGCTGGTTTTATTTTTGTTTTTGTTTTTGTTTTTTTGAGACAGAGTGTGTCTCTGTTGCCCAGGCTAGAGTACAGTGGCACAATCTCAGCTCACTGCAACTCTGCCTCCCAGGTTGAAATGATTCTCCTGCCTCAGCCTCTAGACTAGCTGGAACTACAGGTGTGTGCCACCATGCCCGGCTAATTTTTGTATTTTTCGTACAGATGGGGTTTTGCCATGTTGGCCAGGCTGGTCTCAAACTCATGACCTCAGGTGTTCTGCCTGCCTCAGCCTTCCAAACCGCTGGAATTACAGGCATGAGCGACCAGGCCTGGAATTTAAATCTTCAAAAATAAAATTTGAGGCCAGGCACGGTGCCTCATGCCTATAATCCTAGCAGTTTGGGAGGCCGAAAGTGGGTGGATTACCTGAGGAATTCATCACCAGCCTGGCCAACATGGCAAAACCCTGTCTCTACTAAAAATACAAAAATTAGCCAGGCGTAGTAGTGGGTGCCTATAATTCCAGGTACTTGGCAGGCTGAGGCAAGAGAATTACTTGAACCCGGGAGGTGGAGGTTGCAGTGAGCTGAGATCACACCACTGCACTCCAGCCTGGGCAACAAGAACAAAAACTCCGTCTCAAAATAAATAAATAAATAAAATAAAATTGGAAAATGCCTTGGTAGTAGCAGAGTTCTTGAAAAGAGACCAAAAAGTATGAATCATAATCGAAACAATTTGATAAGTTCAAAGGTATTAAGATCAAGAACTACCATTCATTAAAAGATCTCACAAAGAAAGGGAAATTATAAATTACTAATTGGGAAAAGATGTTAAATAGACATAACCAACAAAATTTGAGTATCCACATTTTAATGTTCTTTAATATATAAAGAACATTTTAAAAAATCAATAGGGGAAAATCAAGTAATATCTTCAAAAAACTGGCACATTTAGCCAGATGTGGTGGGCCACACCTGTAGCCCCAGCTACTTGAGAGGCTGAGGTGAGAGAATACCTTGAGTCAGGAGCTGAGGCTACAGTGAGCCTGATTGTGCCACTGCACACCAGCCCAAAAAACAGCAAGACCCTGTGTGGGGAAAAAAAAGAAAAAAGGCACAAGCCATGAATAATCATTTCACAGAAGAGGAAACACAATCAGGAAATAAGCATATGAAAATGTGCACAATTTCTTTTTTTTGTTTCTGCGATTTTGTTTTTGTTTTTGAGACAATGTCTTGTTCTGTTGTCCAGGCTGGAATGCAATAGTGTAACCTTGGGTCACTGCAACCTCCGCCTCCCAGACTAAAGCAATTTTCATGCCTCAGCCTCCCAAGTAGCTAAGATTACAGGCACGGGCCAGCATACTGGCTAATTTTTTGAATTTTTTAAAAAAACAGGGTTTCACCAGGCTGGCTAGGCTGGTCTTGAATTCCTGACCTCAGTTGACTGCCTGCCCCGGCCTCACAAAGTGCCGAGATTAAAGGCATGATCCACTGTGCCCAGCCTCAATCTCATTTATAATGAGGTAGGAGCAAATTACAACCACAATGAAATACTATTTCACATCTACCAGACTGACAAAAATTTTCAAACGTAAAACACTCCTAAGTGTTGACAAGATAGTGGGGCAGCAGCTCTACTATACTGCCAGAAAATAATTTGGCATTATCAGGTAAATGTGTAAACTAGGCATATTCTATGACACTTGATATATAACCTATGCAATATTATATCCACTGGATAACAACATCAGAATACAACAGACACATACTCATAGAAGCTTGATTTCTAATAAGCAAAAGACAGACAAAGAAACCAAAGACATGGAAATAATTTAAATGTTAATTGGTAGGAGAATGGAAAAACTGTGGTGTACTCAAATCAAGGAATACTATATAGCAGTAAAACAAGAATAAAAAAATTAGCTACAGGAACTTGCATCAACATTATTGAATCTTACAGATATGATGAACAAAAAAATGAGCAGAAGAATGTATATATGTACATACAGTTCAAAAACTCAAAAACTAAATAATTTATTACAAACAGAAGGAAAACAAATACCCACAAATTTCAGAGTAGAGATTACTTCAGTAGTAGGGAGATGTCATTTTGGAAGGGGTTTACTGGGGTCTTTCAAGTATCAGTAATGCTCTTCTTAAAGTTAATGGTAGCTACAGATGTGTTTATCTTTTCACAGACATTTAGATTAAATATACTCTTCTGTATGTATGAAATATTTAATGATATAAATATGAAAGTGTAGAAACAAAATGAACAAGAAAATGTAAAGTGTTTGTAGAGGTACTGGCAGTTTAACAACTCAATAAATTCTAAGTACCATTTTTCATATATAAGGAAAAAATCAACTACATGGATTTTTGAAGGAAAAATAATCAGTGCTTTACAATCAAAATAAAAGCACAATCAAACAGGTAAAGAAAAACATTTTAAGATGGTTCATTCAAAGTCAGTTCCTAAAATGACATGGAAGTTAAAGCTAATGCATTAGGAGAAAGATGGTAAAGATCTATATGGCTAGAGATATATTTTTGAGATTTTAACATATTTTAACATTGTTTTTCTTCTTTGATTTTTCCCTTAATCCACCATCCACCAACTCCCCACCCTAATTCAAGAAAATAGCAGGCTCAGCCAGGCACTGTTGCTCCCGCCTGTAATACCAGCACTTTGGGAGGCTGAGGTGGGTGGATTACCTGAGATCAGGAATTTGAGACCAGCCTGATGAACATGGTGAAAAACCATCTCCACTAAAAATACAAAATTAGTCAGGTGTGGTGGCGCATGCCTGTAATCTCAGCTACTTGGGAGGCTGAGGCAGGAGAATCACCTGAACCTGGAAAGCGGAGGTTGCAGTGAGCCAAGATCACACTACTACACTCCAGCCTGGGCAACAAGAGTGAAACTCCATCTGAAAGAAAGAAAGAAAGAGAGAAAGAGAGAAAGAGAGGAGAGAGAGAGACAGAGAGAGAGAGAGAGAGAGAAAGAAAGAAAGAAAGAAAGAAAGAAAGAAAGAAAGAAAGAAAGAAAGAAAAGAAAGAAAAAAGCAAATAGCAGGGTCTTTGCTTTCTTGCTCCAGAACTTTGTCAGTGTTATTTTAGAGGCCCCAAAAGAACCATGCCTCCCATATTCCTGCCCTGTGTAGTCCCTTCTGCTTCAATCTGAGATGGCCTCATGATCTGCTTAAAATAAGAGTGTGACAGAAATCATGCTGTTTTAGTTTGAGTCCTAAACCTTAAGAAGGCTTACATGCTTCCACTTTGTCCTCTGGAGGAAGCCAGCCACCATGTAAGAGGTCTGACTACCCTGGAACCACCTCTCTGTGACAATCTCAGCCTAACCAAGACGGGAGGCATGAGAAAGAGACCCAAGGCCCCTGGCCAACAGCCCCAGCAGAGTTCCTAGCCAATAGCTAGCACCAACTTGCCAGGCTGTAAGGTCGTCTCAGAAGTGACTCCTCTAACCCTGAACTGCCCAGACTGAGAGCATGGGAAGCAAGGTAAGTTCCCTGAAACCCTGCTCAAGTTGCATAATTGTGGTTTCTTTAAGCCACTAGGTTTTGAGGTCCATTGTTACACAGAAATTCATAATGAATACAGGCTGGAAAGCACAAATGATACCTCCAGCAGGGACTTTTTTTTTCTAAAAGCCTAAACTCTAAGGAGAATGCAGAGGATTCTGAAGAGATGATAAAAACAAGAAAAGGAATTTTTCTTTCTTTCTTTTTTTTTTAAAACGAAGTCTCGCTCTGTCACCCAGGCTGGAGTGCAGTGGTGTGATCTCGGCTCACTTCAACCTCCGCCTCCTGCCTCAGCCTCCTGAGTAGCGGGGACTGCAGGTGAGTAGCCGGGACTACAGGTGAGTAGCCGGGACTACAGGTGAGTGATACCAAGCCCGGCTAATTTTTGTATTTTTAGTAGAAATGGAATTTCTCCATGGTGACCAGGCTGGTCTTGAACTCCTGTGATCTCAAGTGATCCACATGCCTTAGCCTCCCAAAGTGCTGGGATTACAGGCGTGAACCACCATGCCCAACCAAGAAACACAGGCATTGACAGAGTGTATTGACGAGAAACACAGGCATTGAAGGAAGAGGAAAGGCAAAGGATTTTATCCAGATTAAAAAAAAAGATTCCCTGTAGGCTGGTAAAATGACATGATTCCCCCTCCCCCAAATAGCTATATGTACATATAGGCAAATGGGATTTCAAAAAACCCTTGCAAATGACGCCCATGTCCCAAGCAGCACAAAGGCAGCAGGAAGACACGAGATCTAAAGAGGCTGCATAGACATGGATGAGCCTCTACCCCTACCAGCCAGAGCATCAAACTTGTTAAAACTAGGAATGAGGCTGGGCACAGCAGCTCATGCCTGTAATCCCAGCATTTGGGGAGGCTAAGGCAGGCAGCTTGCTTGAGCTCAGGAGTTCAAGACCAGCCTGGGCAACATGGGAAAAACCTGTCTTTAAAAAAATACAAAAATTAGCCAGGCATGGTGGTGTATGACTGGAGTCCCAGCTACATAGGAGGCTGAAGTGGGAGGATGGTTTGAGTCCAGGAGGTAGAGGTTGCAGTAAGCTGAGATCGTGACACTGCACTCTAGCCTGAGAGACAGAGTGAGATACTGTCTCAAAAACAGAAACAAACAAACAAAAACTGTGAATGAAGGAACTCCAAAATGTTCCCTACCAGTTTGGTAGATTTGGGGCTCAAAGTCACAAATTATATTACAGAAAGTATTTTAAGTGGCAAAACCTGAATTCATGTCACTAAAATTGTCCTTATCTCTTCAGAAATAATAAAAATAAATTTCAGAGAATAGAGGTATTAAAAAAATCACTTTCATCCTATAGAATTTCTCACAAATGGGCAAAATAAAAAATAACCCCCCAAAATCATTTTCCCTGACCTTTATTTTCTAGGCATTTTTATTTTTTTTTTATAATATGGAATGCTTCACAAATTTGCATGTCATCCTAGAGCAGTGGCCATGCTAATCTTCTTTGTATCATTTCCATTTTCGTTTATGCGCTGCAAAAGCAAGCACAATTTTCTAGGTATTTGTATTTTGGGGAAATTTAATCTCATCAGCAAATCCTAACAAGACTGCTTTTTTGTTTTCCTTCTTTTTGCTAACTACCATAGATCTGCAATATTTTTTCAAACTGGTCTCATCTCAATATACAGATACAGCGCTATTCTCCGTATCGAGATTTTTGTAAGCCTACCTCTATTGTGGGAGTCAACCCCTCGGGGGCTTGGCCACACCACTAGCTTTGGCCAATGGGACATTAGAAAATGTGATGCAGGCCGAGTGTGGTGGCTTATACCTGTAATCCCAGCATTTTGGGAGGCCAAGGAGGGTGGATCACTTGAGGTCGGGAGTTGGAGACCAGCTTGGCCAACATGGTGAAACCTCATCTCTGCTGAAAACACAAAAATTAGCCCGTCGTGGTGGTGTACACCTATAATCTCAGCTGCTCAGGAGACTGAGGTAGAAGAATCATTTGAACTCGGGGAACAGGGAATCCAGTGAGCTGAGATCAGGCTCAGCACTCCAGCCTGGGTAAAAGAGTGAGACTCTATCTCAAAAATAAAAATAAAAATGTGATGCAAGCAGAGTTTCCATAAGCACTTGCACACTGGAGCCTTTTCTTTTGGAAGACTGTGACAATCAAGTAAGAAACCAAGCACTGCTATTAGAGATGCCTACTAGAGGAAAACTGAGGTGCTCCAACCAACAGCCTCAGCTACCTGCCAGCCATGTGAGTGAGGCCATTGTGAGCCATCTAGCCTTGGCGAAGCTACCAGGTGACTGCAGCTGTTTAAGTGATTTCAAGTAAGACTAGCAGAAGATCTGTTCAGCTGATCTTCGCCCAAATTGTCAATCACGAGCAAATAAATGATTCCTATTTAAGCCACTAAGCCATTTATTTTTAAAAATGTAAAGCTACTTATTGATTGCTATTTAGCAGTATCTACAAGAAAGTAAGCAATATATACTCAGGTAACATTACTATAGTGTTATTGTTTTTCCTGGCTTCTTCTGAACCAGTAAGCTAAATATGGAAATGACTGAGCCTACATGTAATGAATGGGTTGGGGTAAAGGAAAAGCACCCAAATCAAGAGTTTACACTGCAATTGTTCACCCATGTATGCCAGCAGATCTTAAACAGCAATATCTCTAACCATCGATTTATTTTCATGAGCAAAGACATTCTATGAATTATGACTTTTTAGCCATTATAGCATACAAATTTCAACTTTTTGTAAAGAAGTGGCTCTTTAGAAGGAATCTCTAAATGCCCACTTAGCTAAGCCTTGCTTGGCTAATTAAAGCACACCAGTATTGGGCAGGGAGTAGTGGTTCATGTCTGCAATCCCAGCACTTTGGGCCACTAAGGTGGGAGGATCGCTGAAGGCTAAGAGTTCAAGATCAGCTTGGAAAAGAAAGCAGGATCCTGTCTCTACAAATAAAATTTAAAATTAGATGGGTGTGGTGACATATGTCTGTACTCTTGGCTACTTGGGAGGCTGAGGCAGAAGGATTGCTTGAACCCAGGAGTTCAAGGCTGCAGTGAGCTATAATTATAACACTGCACACCAGCCTTGGCAACACAGCAACACCCTGTCAAAAAAAAAAAAAAAAAAAAGCCACATCAGTATCTGTCTGGTTTCCTCATCTGAGTAGGGAGATTGTTGGTAATAAAATTTCTCCTTTTAGAAGGTTTTGTAAATAAACTGTTGCATTTATATGATTATAGCAATCGACATAATGGATTCTGATTTGGCTTTTTTTGTTTTTGAGATGGAGTCTCACTCTGTCACCCAGGCTGGAATGCAGTGGCATGATCTCGGGTCACTGCAACCTCCACCTCCTGGGTTCAAGCAATTCACCTGCCTCAGCCTCCTGAGTAGCTGGGATTACAGGCACATGCCACCACACCCGGCTAATCTTTGTATTTTTAGTACAGACAGGGTTTCACCATGTTGGCCAGGCAGGTCTCAAACTCCTGACCTCGTGATCCGCTGCCTCAGCCTCCCAAAATGCTGGGATTAGAGGTGTGAGCCACCGCACCCAGCCCTTTTTTTTTTTTTGAGACAGAATTTTGCTTTTGTTGCCCAGGCTGGAGTGCAATGGCGCGATCTTGGCTCACTGCAACCTCCGTCTCCCAGTTCAAGGAATCCTCCTGCTCAGCCTCCCAAGTAGCCACCACACACGGCTAATTTTGTATTTTTAGTAGAGACGGGGTTTCTCCATGTTGGTCAGGCTGGTCTTGAAATCCCGACCTCAGGTGATTTGCCCACTTGGCCTCCCAAAGTGCTGGGATTACAGGCATGAACCACTGTGCCAGGTCCTAATTTGGCTTCTTTAAATTGTTCAATTTAAATGTTTACATTGTTTTTAACTTGGCCAACTAATTACAAATTATTTAATTTGAAACACTGTGGCTTTAGGAAAAATTGTAACTTTAGGTAATCTATTTCTTGGGCTGCTTAAAATGATGGCATTCCAGAAAAAAAAAACCTGAATTTACCCATGTCGTGAAATGCTATCTTTGTCTTAGTTCATGTAAAAAACAAAAACACAACAACTATGTAAGTATGTATTTACATATACACACACAAAAACCCAGAATAGCCTTAGGCATTATAGGTTAAACACAAGTTATGATTGAGTAATGATTATGGAAAATGTTCCCAACTTTTAGAAAAGCTGTTCTCCAATGCAGAGGAAATAATACACCATGGAATCAAATATTCTTTTCTGGTAAAGGAAGCAGCTATAGTAAACTTTTTTCTACTTGTTCAAAAGTAACCAGTGCTATTGATGAAAAATTCCTACAAATCCCCAAAACAAACAAACCCCCAAAACTCTCTTGATTTAAAGTAGAAAATAGATTTCATTATAAAACAGGTGGCCACGCAGGGTGGCTTATGTCTGCAGTTCCAGCACTTTGGGAAGGCGAGGCAGGAGGATCACCTGAGCCCAGAAGTTTGGGTAACATAGTGAGACTGTCTCTATTTTTTAAAAAACGGAATAATTCACACTAATAAGAAAATCAAGACCTAGGTTTTACACACACACACACACACACACACACACACATCATTATATGGCAGTATACTGTAGTGCAACAATTTTTGAGTTTCATCTTTTGGACAGGAATGCCAAGTTATTCTCTCTTCATAAAAAGAATTTGCAATTTGAGGACACTTCATGAAGCACGACGTTGGCCTCATCTGAATCTTTCCATTCCATTAGAAACATTAATTCTTCACTGCAGTCTGTGGCACCAATTCTTTGCTTAGGAGCAAGACTTCTGGCAAAGTCTTCTGGTTTCTCGGTAGCATCCCTTTCCTTTCATTTGCTGTCATAAGATTCATTACCAGATAAAGATTCTCTTTTTGTACTATCTTTTCCCTAACCAGTTTTTTGAGTATTAAGAAATAGTTCAATTAACTCAGGAAAATCTAAGTTTTATTCAGGTTCTCATTATTGTCAGCAAGTGTAAATCTTTTCCACATTAGGGAATATTCCACTTTCCCATTCACTACACCTCGACTTAGTACTTTTTCCACCACGAAATCCTCAGGTTCTGTTTCATCAACTTTTTTACCCTTCCTATTATGTTTTTTGCCCCCACCCCGCTTTGTGTGTGTGTGTGTACAGTTCCACTTTGTATCCTCTGGTTCCCCATCCCTGGATTCTATCAACCTGAGGATAGAACATATTTCAAAATCACAATAAAACAACAAAAATAATACAAATGAAAGAACAATACAGTATAACAACTATTTACATAGCATTTACATTGTATTAGGTATTATAAGTAATCTTGACATAATTTAAAGCATGCAGGAGGATGTGTGTAGGTTGTATGCAAAGACTTCACCCTTTTATATGAGGGACTTGAGCAGCCTTGGATTTTGGTACACATGGGGGTCCTGGCCCAGAAACCAATTTCCCAAGGATACCAAAAGACGACTATAGTTTTACTGGAAGCCATATTTAATTGCAGACTTGAAGAGCTATTGTTCACCAGCTCTGAGCTGCACCTGGTTTGGGTCTGTGGCATCTCAAGTGCTGCCTGACTCAAGCTTGACCTACATCCAAGGAGGAAGGGAATGAGGAGCTTCTTCAGGGGCCACTAAGTTTGGGAGAAATTTGTTATGTAGCAATAAATAACTGATACAAGGCCACTTAAGTATTTTACTCTATAGTAAGATAGCTATGAAAATACAAATTAAGAGTCAATTGAAGAGAACAAATTAAGGAACTGGGCCATTTCAAACACTTTACTTGTGATGAAAATTTAAAAAACAAACTCATCATCTTTTTTTGATGAAAAAATTTTTTTATATTCTGAGAACGAAAGTGATGCCATACTCATCTTTCTTTGATGAAAAAATTTTTAAAATATTTTCAGAACAAAAGTGATGCCATACTGCCATTAAGAAACTGATTCAGATTCGACCTCTCAACAAGATAGACATCGGCGTTCCCAACAAGAGCTGCCCATAATACTGCAGTACACTTTCCTGGCATCATTTTAAAAAACAATCTTAGAGATTATCCTGAAATCTCTTCTAAAGACAAGAAAGAGTTTGTGCCTAGTTTGGTGGCCGACGCCTGTAAAATCCAGCACTTTGGGAGGCCGAGGTGGGCAGATTCCGAGGTCAGGAGTTTAAGACCAGCCTGGCCAACAGGGAGAAACCCCGTCTCTACCAAAAATACAAAAATTAGCCCGGCGTGGTGGCGGGCGCCTGTAGCCCCAGCTGGTCGGGGGGCTTAGGCAGGAGAATCGCTTGAATCCAGGAGGCGGAGGTTGCGTTGATTCAGCTTGGGTAACACTCCTCAAAAAAAAAAGAGTTTTGTATAATTTGGTATTACAGAGAAATGAGAAATCTAAATCTCTCTGATGACGAACCTCCAGCTCTAATCTCAATTTGCTGAAGTAGAGACGCAGAACCTCCAGCTCTAATCTCAATTTGCTGAAGTAGAGACGCAAGTCATTACCCATTAACGCAGAATCAGAAAAAC